GTGTCTATTGTTAAGGCAATGATTTCCTTCAAAACAATGCCATTGAATGCTTGTTAAACGCAAACACTGTATACGAGTGTTAACATTGAGGACGGGTTATCGAAATAATGGTAAACTTGTTTTATTAGTTTTTCAATTATGTTTTATTAGAAATATTAATTAATTAATAAAATGATCAAATGTTTATTTAACTCATGAATACGACAAAAAAGTGTGTTCTTTGCCGACAACTACTGTACACATGAATAGAAAAAAACTTAAAATCAATAATAAAACATGTTTTTTAGTGCATTTGTTTTAATTCGATAGATATTATTGTAAATAATGTTCTAATTGTTTAAAAACAAATTAATAATTAAATTTGGAAATTAAATAGCGTTTTAGTTTTAACCGAAAAAAATTGAGAAAATAATATTAATTCTTATGAGCCGTTCATTAGTAATGAAGTGATGATTAATTCTAGACTTCTATTCATTTACTATAAGAGAAAAAAAGAGAGAGAATATCATTAATAAACAGTTTAATTGAATTCATTTGTTATATAAAGATATTTACAAATATTGAGACATTATTTCTCATTCAATTGATTGAGTAATAAAATGAAAATTCAAAGATCGAGTAAAAGTATATTTTTAAAATTCTGACACTTGTTTCGCTTTATTATTAATTCGTTACAAATTAGAGATCAGTTTTTTAGCGATAAAAACCAAACATTAATTGAATAACAAATAAGAGAAAAACATTGTTTTCATAAATAAATTTCAATTTTTTGTTTCAGTTATTTAAAAGAATCCAAAGATATTTTGAACACTTGTTGTGAGAGATATACAGATATAGAAGGTGTATAGGGAGGGGCTATCTGTCTCTCACCCGTATAAAAGTATTATTAAATTTCTTGACTCTTTCGCACACATTGAGCCACTTTTCGCTTGAAACTTAAGAAGCTTTCTCTCCACTCTTTCTGTGGTGACAAAAAACAAACAATCATTACATCAAAGGCAACACCAAAGCCATCAAATGGCGGCTACAATACTGACCGCTGCGTCTACATTGGCCGGCGACTCGTCGTTAGGGTCGGCTAACATTGATATTACAGATATAAGAATGGTTTCAACGGTGTGTACGGGAAGCCAACGCTCGGACGCCTTCTCGTAGCCGTACTTATCGTCTCCGGGCTCGTGAAGAATGGATATACACACGTCTCCATTCTTGTCGACTATAAACACAACACACAATACAAACAAGACATGGATTAACACAATGGACGCAATGGCCGGCAATTGCAGAGCACGTACTGTTCGGGTGCCAAATCTCGGTCACAAACTTCATTTTGGGCGGTCTTAAGGGATAGTCTTTGGGAAAGTGAAGATGTGCTTTGAAGAATCCGCCCTCACTTTTGGGCCATTCATTAGACAAAACAAATCATAAGACAATTAGCGGATCAAATGGCGAGACAATTGGTATTGTAATCAAACGCTTACTAAAGAGTGTCCGGCGGACCGATTATAAGCACTTCCCAGATGTAAATGTCGTCGTCATCGACCAGACCCGCTGAGAAGCCCTCCACCGGATTCTTCTTGAGGTCTGCAATGAGATAATCAAATGAGTCAATGGTTGGGATAAGTGGGACACGGATTAAGGATTAGGGGATTAAGGGATCGGGCGTTGAGTGCGTCGTATAGGGGAGAGAGTGAGCCGTCATCGACGGTCAGACCAACCATTGAGTTGTTTTCTGAGCAGAAGAGTCGACTGATCTCCCATTTCATGTATGGTTTAGCCGAGAGTCGAGGTCTCGATGGTTGAGGACAAGAGACGGTTCCACTCTTTGCCAAACGTAATGTCTATTTGGATGTGATTTCAATGCAAACCAAACACTCATTCAATGCATTCAATGCTAACCAATGCTATACTCAATGTATGTCTCAATCGCTTTGTCTCTACTGTACAATACTCTCAACACTCTGTGTGTCCACACATTCACCTCAACTCAACACCAGATCAACACTAGAGGGAAGCATCAGCTCTACAACTAGTATTGGGCAAAGAATATATTGAATAACATGTATAACATGATCATTCACAGTATATCTTACGATATATTGCATGTTATTAAAACTTATTTAATAATTATATACATTAGCTAATATTTTATTTTTATAATATTTAATTAATAGGCTATTAATAATAGTTAATTTCACTCGATGTACGCACAATGAAATCTGATATATTGCATGTTATTAAAACTTATTTAATAATTATATACATTAGCTAATATTTTATTTTTATAATATTTAATTAATAGGCTATTAATAATAGTTAATTTCACTCGATGTACGCACAATGAAATCGGCAGCATTAAGCAATCTGATAGCAGAATTATACAATGTAATTTACAAATGTATAAATATTCTAATAAGGTATTCCTGGTCATAGAATTGCATTATAAAAAATGACATGATAAATAAATCAGTGAAATTTAATTAGTTTTATAAACAATCTTATTAATTATACAACTATTCTGTATTTAAAAATAATTAGTGAATTTTGATTTATGGTTAAAATACTGTATCCTTTTTAATCTTTTTTAAAAAGTTTTGTCAAATTATTGATTACATAAATTATTTACAACTTTGATTACAACATAATTACAATAATTATTTCTACGAATTTAATTATCAAGAGTTTTTGCTTAGAGTTTACAATGACTTCTGTGTATAATGACTTCTCTTTATAATCTATATAAAAGTTGTTTGATTTACTTTTATCTCATACCAGAGTTTCATAAATCAAAGCATTTTATTTATTTTAAAATAAAACACGCGATTAAAGGGTTTTTGATTCAAAACTTTTGAAACAAGTTTTACATTCATTTGAGAATATGGTCTCAAATTTACATTTGCATAAATGTTAATTAGATTTAATGTGAAAGTCATTTGAAACTATTTTATCTATTTTAGTGAAAACCCTGTTTTAGAGAAAATCTCGTTAAGAAATTGATAAGAATTTAACTAATGATTTAAACTAATAATACATTTATTATAATTGAGTGAAACCCGTGATTGGGATAACCTTGTTGTAGAGATTCATTAATTATATCAAGTATTAATCATATAAATGTAATATTAATGAACAAAACAATAAATATTAATTTCTAAACATAGCTTTCGCTCTATTATTATTAAACATTATATGAGTTATGAATGAATTGTATTTTATTATGATATTTAAAATATTGTATATGTTTTATAAATTATTAAATAGCTATAAAATATTTTTAATAATTAACTAAAAGTATTAATAAACATAATATGTTATGCATATGTTATGAATGAATTGTATTTTATTATGATATTTAAAATATTGTATATGTTTTATAAATTATTAAATAGCTATAAAATATTTTTAATAATTAACTAAAAGTATTAATAAACATAATATGTTATGCATAATGTATTGAACAAAATCAATATATCATGTAATTTTTCAATTCAAAATATTCTTACATCAAGAATTCAATGTAATGTAATTTATAATAATCTAATATTACAAGTATTAAGTTTTAATAAAACTTTTACAAAGTTTTAATTGACAACAAAATGCATAGAAATAGCGATATTTGTGTATCAAATACAGAGAGGGCTTAGAGAGGCGTCTATTGAATAACCGGAATATTGTGTTTAAATAATGAGTTTTCGGTCAATAAGAAAGTCATTGCGAAACACAACTCAACCCACGATTAAAGGCACAACTCATTCACAAAAACGTGACATTAAAGCAGCCGTTTGTTGTCCCCTATAGTAGTAAAACATATACTTCTATCGAGAAAATCGTAACGTAATATAAATACCAACAAAAAGTGTCAAACAATTAGCGAAATAAACAGAGAGTAAAGAGATATTCACTTCGTATGAGAGGAGAGAGACTCTGAGAGAGCGAGAGATTGAGTGAAGAGTTTGTCTCTCATTTCATTTGATTTGATTGTAATGTTTGTATTGAAAACATAATCACATTATTTATAATAACAATAAAAATGTTTAGTTTTTGCGATTAAATGACTGGAAATCAAAATATGAGTTATTATAGTGTATGAGA